ACAAAAATATGATTTTGATGTTGGAGAATCTTCGAGGCCAATGAAACGAGCGGATAGGAAACGAAAAAGGATAGTTTTAGATGATGATTTTGTAGAAGATGTGCCTATCAGTAAACTTGGAAAGAAAGCTAAGTGGCTCCCAGTTCAAAAACTCCCAAAAAGAAGAAAAATTCAAAAAAATCCCCTAGTGTTAAAACTCCAAAAAAATGTTCGAAAACACTCACTGGTGAAGGTAAGAATTTTTTTAATTTCTTCACTACTTATTTCTCCTGTTTTAGTTGTTAAAAATCTACATAATCTGTGGTTTTTTTGATTTGTAGATTTTTGTAGAAATGTTGTATATAAATTGCATATGTATCTATATTTTTAAGCACTGAAATTATGTGAGATTATTTGTCTTAATTTTGTTGTTTAATTGTAGATTTGTTGATGTATTTTAACATTGTTGTTATATTATATAATTTTGAAGTTATTTTGTAGAAACATACAAATGTATCAGTATTTTTTAATTACTGTATTAATGTTAGATTACATTTGTTGAATTTTGCAGAATGAACATTTTTTTGCATCCCATAATGTTGATTATGGGGTGCTTAGATTTCAGACATTATGTGACCCTAGCATTCCCAGCCAAATTAAAACATTTTTGTCTCCAAATGGTTTGAAGTTGTTCAAGAAGACATGCTTTGGTTATTTACTGTCATTTCCCAATTTATGCATGCAAAATCAAGCTATTCATCTTCTTATGAAGTATGAATTGAAAATCATCTTATGCTTCCTATTTTTCAGTCGAGTTAAAAGGTGAGAGGTTAAATTTTGGATTGAGAGAGTTTGCAGTAATAACTAGTTTTATATGTCATACTGAGGTGACAGACTTTGGTTACACTCCTAGTTATGTCAGTAAGTTAATGAGCAGTTACTTTCCAAACAAAGTAGAAGTGGAGAAGACATACCTAAAATAGATAGTAACAACCAAAAGTTGGGTCAATGATGAGGATGCAGTCAAGTTATGTATTTTATATCTCATAGAATACTTCATTTGTCCTTCAGAGAGAAACCATACTAGGTTGGTAGATCATTTTTGGTTTTATTTGTTGAATCTGGTCAGTACGAGTCATTTCCATGGAGTGTTCAGTCTTAAAGACAGCTGATTGAATCTGTTAGGCACAGGCTAAATCCTTTCATTCATTCTTATCTCATTCGAGGATTCCCACTAGCCATGCAAGTATGGTTGTATGAGTGTTGCTCCTCTGTCAACATTGATATAGCTACAAAGATTTCTAATTCAATCTCTCAAATACTAAACTGGTCAACTGCTAAGGGTCAGATTTGGTTTGCTGCAATTGAAGACAAAATGATCAAGCCTGAATGGATGAAGGCAAATGGTCTTTATTTATCATAATACAATGTATCTACAAAATATCTACATTGTGTATACATATTCTGCTTTAAACAAGCTAATTTATTTTTTTCATCATTCAGTTCACCAACATAAATGAATCACCTGAAGAGCTTTCAATGATGTCTTTGCCTGATAAAGTTGAGTACACAATTGAAGAGGTTGAACATGTTTCTGAGAATCCAAAAGTTGATGCTCCTCCATTGGAACCCAAAGAATCAATTGAAAAAGAGGAAAAGGAGTCTATTCTTCATAAAATAAAAAAGTTAAAAAGAGGTATTGAGAAGGTAACATGTAGTCCCAATAAAGCATTCTGATTTTTATATAATAGTGTATTTGTATTTTAATACATATTTCTGAAGGTAACTATGTATTTTTTTTATTATGTAGGTCAATGAAAAGCTTAAAAAATTAAGAAACGATGTATTTGAAGAACTAGGTAGCCTTCGAGACCTAATAAAGGATTCAATCAAGACTGTTTTGCAGGTGATAAACAATCCAAATGATCAAGTTGATTCAAAGGTAACATTTGAATCTTAATCATATTAACAAAACTATTTATGTCACCTCTAAAATATATATCCTAACTAATATAAAACTTACAGTTTGCTGGGAGTTCAACAAAAAATACTGACCAACCAAAAGACAAGAACAATCAGCAAGTTCAGTTCAATAGTGGTGAAACAGTGCAGGTCAGCCCCAGCAAAACAGGTATCTATAATATATCTCCAGTATATCTACAATTATATACAAAATATCTACAAAATAACTATAAATTATCTACAACATAACTACAATTTGAATACATTATATATACACAATATATTCAATAAAATCTAACTTACTTACACAGCAATAGAGATTTATGTAGATATTATGACACACCTTCATATCTTCATAAGTTTTCAAGCTAATACTATCCAGTATTATTTAACATTTTTAATAAAAAAACAAAACATGTTGAATGTGCATATAGTGAAGAAAATCATCCAGCACGTGTTGATTTATATACACATTTTGAAGGGATTGTTGATGAAGAGAATACAAGTTTGAAATTGTATTCAGAAATATTTTCTTTTTGTTTCAATATTTACCATTCTATTAAGTTATATATACATGGTGTTTCAGAGAGGGAAGATATGCATGCACAATCTCCAATTCACGGAGTGACAGTAGCAGCTCAAACAGAACAACAGAATCCGGAAGATGACAATGTAGGTGAAGAGGCAGAGTATGTGAATGTAGGTGATTCAGAAGAATCCGGAGGTGAGAAGAAGGAGGTTACACTTGATGATTTCGAGCTGCCTGATAACTTCTCTCAGTTGGTTAAGTTCGGCGAGCCTATACAAGATGAAACAACACTCATGCATCAAGGTAGAATAAGGCAGCCGGGAAAGCATGCCCGATCACCATTTCTCCCTTTATACAGTTCTGGTGGCAGCACCTCGATTGGACCTCAAATATTTCACCTCAAGCACCCGTTTACTAGTGGTATTGGTCAAAATGTAGACCCTGAGTTATTGGATCAATTCCACAAGTGGTTATACGACGGTACCGATACAGGTCCATAGAGGTTAGGTTGCACAATTTGATACTTTTAATTAGGTATTCATCTTTTACACATCCACTTCATTCAATAATTTTATTTTAATTTCTATTTGTTTATATAGGAGGAAGGCTCTGTATTCTTTAAAGGACAACCAAATTAAGCCATGGTTGGATCTTGGAGTTGAAAAAGTTGAAAAGAAGGAGTGGTTCTTTTCTCTTGCACACCCAGGACAAGTCTTTAAAGACTCGGTAAGATTCAATGTATTTAATTTGTAGATAAATTGTAAATATTTTATATTCTGAATAAGTAGATGCTTTGTCTGATTGTAGATGTATTGTAGTTATTTGTAGTTTTGTGTAGAATATTTTGAGATAACATGTAGAATAAATGCAATCTTTTTTTTGTTGCAGCACATTAATGTTATAATGTATTACTTGAGAAAAAGAGGCAAGTATGGCCCCCACAACAACACCAGATTTACTACAACAAATTGTGTGTTCAAGACTAGAATTGATCAGATTTATGAAAAGTTCAAAAATTCTCCTCAAGAAAAGAAGTTTTCTGTTGCCAAACCCCAGGATGTTGTAGCAGAATATATATTGGGGTATAGACTACTCACAATTATTGCATGGGATGAAGTTGATTATGTCATCATACCCGTCAACATTGTAGAAAAATTTCACTGGGTGTTAGTTGTTTTTGACATTGCATAAAGGTGTCTTTATGCGTATGATTTCATGGTCTCTTCACACAATCACCCTATTGTTGAATCTTGTGTCAACAAGTTTTCTATTATTATCCATTTGTATTTGTCATGCACCGGGTTTATGGGAAGCGTAAAGACATCAACTTCAAGAATACAAAAGCATACATTGAGAAACCTGTTACCGACCCTCTTAACATTTAGTGGATCATCGGAGAGATACCACAGCAAAAAGAAGGATCACTGTAACAAAAAAACGTCTTTCTTTCTTTACATTTTTATCTGATGGCTTGGTAAATATTGACATTTTTTTATCTTTTGCAGTGATTGTGATGTATTTGTTGCTGCCTTTGCAGAGTATGTTAGTTATGGAGAATTACAGATTCCTTCAAAAGACCTTTCTGATATTGACCAACACCGTAGACCCTATGGAGCACTACTTTGGGACTATGCTAGAAAGAAGTAGGAGCTTGGGTCAATTAGTGATAGTGAGGTGACAGGCAAATTGGCAAGGAGGAAAGGTGCACCGGCTTTGAATGAGAAAACAAGAGTCCATAGGAAGAAGAAGTAGTTGTAATATTTGGAATGGATCATGTATTACAATTGTGTAGTTGATGCTAGTTTATAAGATAGATGGTAGACAAGTTTTTGAATAATTTATTATGTTTTAATTGTAGCAGACTTGTGCTACAATTATAGTAGCCTTTGTTTCTTTTTTCTTATCCAGTATAGTAGTACAAATGAAAACAGTTTGTTGGGTTTATATTCACTTGTTGAATATGTACAGTACTTGATCTTCATTATTTAAAGCATTTAAATCCTTTGCAACTAATCTACATTTATTCTGATCTACATTATTTTCACCATAAAGCTTCTTTCTACCTGAATTTTAATCTATGTATTATGTCAGCTATAGATATTGTAGTTTTTTTGTAGTTGTATTTGTAGATTATTTTAGTTATTATGTTATGTTTCTTTTATATTCATTTTTTCAATGTAAACAATACTTTATCTACAATATTTTATGTTTTTAACTAATTTCCTACAAATTTATAATGTATATACTCTATAAATTTCAGATAATGTATTTTTTGTAGTTTTATTGTAGATAAACTGCAAAAATACATTAACAACTATGTAAAAGATTCCATATATAGTAAAAAAGTAATATATTATATATATAGAAAATATTCATAAACAAATCACTGAATGAAAGTATTATCTCAGTATAGAAACATCCTAACTAACTACATTATGATCTTAAAAAAAACAACGATTATACATCAAAATCTGTTATCCAGAACTAACCAATAAATTTTTATGAAGTATTCTGTTAACTACATAAAATTTTATTTCATTTTGGGTGCATTCTTGCAAGATCCTTTGTTATGCTTTTCTCCTCCGCAGTTGCCGCATAAAACCTTGTACTTCTTTGAATTTATTTCATCATATATTTTGTATCTTTCTTTTTGAGGTCTTCCTGGTTGTCTTTTCCCTCCTTTAGGTGGATTTACTACTTCTTCAGTTATATGTTGTGGCACATTCCATTTGCTTTCATCAGGCAGCGGATTTACTGGTATTTCATACGTACGCAAGAGGTTCGCCCTTGTGTAATAAGGAGAACAATATTCTTCAAAAGACTCATCCCTTTGTCTTAAAGCAGCCAAAGCATGTGGACAAGGTAGTTCATCAAGCTGAAATTGCCCACAACTACATTTCTTATTTTCAAGACAAACAGTATAGCGCCTCACACCATCTATTACTGTATGGATGTAGTCTGTTGACCCTCACCTACGAGTACATTAAAACAAAAAAACAAATCATATATGGTTAAAATCAAGCTATATACAAAATATCTACATTATGCTGTTTATGAATTTGATTCAATAAATAATCAGATCTTACTCTAAGTTTGTGCGACAATGTTCTGTTGTCATCCAACTCTTTGTTGAATTTGTATCCAAGGTATGTGAATGTACCCTTTGCTTTGAATAATTTTTCTTTCGTCCAATGTTCAAGAAGGGTCCTCATATACTCTAATAGTTCTACTATCGGCAGCTCTCTTGCATATTTTGTTACAGCATTCAACGACTCTGCAATGTTTAATGTCATAGTCCAAGTTCTGTTTACCGTAGCATGTACTCGAGACCATCTATGATATCCAATATTGTATAAGTATGCTTTAACACGGGGGTCAATCTCCTCAATCTTTGACATCATTTCATTAAATTCATCAAGTGTGTATGACCGCGCCGTGGCAAAGTATAATTCACTTAGCTTAAGATGTCCCTTCTTGAACTTTCCCCGTATATTTGTCCAAATATGCCACATGCAAGAATAATGTAGCATGCCGGGATAAACAATAGATGTTGCCTTCAAGATACTCTCACTCCGATCCGAAACAACACACATATTTGGTCTTTCACCATACGCGAGCTTGAATTGCTCAAAAAACCACTTCCATGATACGTCATTCTCTAAATCAACAACAGCATATGTCAATGGTAATATGATACCTATATTATGTGGCAAGAAGCAATTAATTAGCTGCAGTAAAAATGCAGAAGAAGACATATATATACAAACTACAATTATTCTACAATATATCTACAATATATCTACAATTAATCTGCAAGTACTACAAAAAAACATACAAGCTACAATATTTCTACAAATAAAACTTCAGTACTTGCTGCATCCATTGTACTGGCTGCTAGCATTATTCCCCTGTATGCTAACTTTAAAAAGGTTCCATCAACTACTACAACTGGCCTACAATATTTCCAACCACTGATTGGCGTACAAATCGCAATAAATACATACAAGAAGCAGTCATCGTATGTCTTCTTCAATTTAACTACAGACCCCGGATAAAGTTTTCTCTAGAATATACAAATAACTAGGCAATTTGTTGTAGGAGTCAGCAGGATGACCTCTCAAAAACTGTAAAGCCTTTTCCTTTGCTCTCCAGGCTTGCATGTAGGTTAGATTCACGCCGTGTTCAGACAACATGTCAAATTGAATGTCTTTTGGGGTGTAAATTGTCTTAGGATCAGAATATTTTGGAATAACTATGCTACCAACTACCATGGCAGTAGGTTTGCATTGTATGAATGTATTATCCATTAAAAAGCATGTGTGCTGGTTGTCGAAATTTCTGACCTTGAACATTGTAGAATCATTTATGCTAGTTGCCTTGAAATTTCATGTACAGTTTTCACCAACACATATCAGCCAGCAGATACAAAATAAATACATTTTAAATAATGGGTTAAATTTTAGATTCAAAAAAAACTTGTTTTAGCTTAAACAATCACATTATACAATATAAATACAATATAACTACAATTCTGCTAAACATTATCACAAGGAAAACTGAAGAAGTAAAAAATTACAAATAAACTACAAAATTAAAAAAAAATATTTGACTATTCATATGTTCATACCTTCTAGCACTAGATCTTTTAACCCTGAATTGGAACTTGTGCATGACAGAATAGTGCTTCATTGAAGTTGCAATTGTTTCCTTGTCTTGGTATACTTGTCCTACTTCAATAGAACTTGATGTACTATCTGTTATTATTATACTTTCATATTCCTCTATAACGGGAGATGTTGGCATATCAAGTAACTTTAATATTCCAGGCGAACCTGCATGAAAATAAATATAAATATTGTTATCATCAGTTTGTAGAAAATTTGTAGATAATTTGTAGAAAGGTTGAAATTCAGTATTTCATATTAATTTTTCAAATTTTTTGTAGTTTTAATGTAGAATAAATGTAGAATTTTTGTAGATATTACAGAAATCCATACTGATATATATGTGTAGGTTATTTTGTAGATACAATGTAGATAAATTGTAGTTTATTTACAATTTACTAGAATTTCATAGAAATTATAACATCGCACACCTGCAGTTGTGTTCTCATTGGTGATACTAAATTCCATATTGAAATCGCGAACAGTTATACATAGCGGATATGATCCTAAGTTTTTGTTTTCCTTTTTCGTCTCCATGTATACACGAACACCCATATCGTTCCTAATTTCCATTGGAGGACAATGCTCGTTGACAATGTATTTGATTTCTATAATTTTTTCGGATGTATCAATCATTAATTACTGTGCTATTGTAGAAATCAATAGACTATAAGTCGCATCGTCATCGACTATAATGTCATCGATCTCGAATTCTCTAAATCTCCCATAGTTATCCCAATTCCCATTCGATTGTAGCATAATTGGTATTTTCGCCATAATTGCTTTGTTGAAGAAGAATTGTAGAAGATTTTGTCGATTTTGATTTGTGAAATCAGAGAAAATGTTGAAATAGAGTTTAGCGCAAAAAATAGAGTACTGGAATTTTGTAACGAAGTCGACGATAGTGATTACTATGCGTGATTTGCATTGGAAGATCTAGAAAATATTTAATTCCCTTTTTATCTCACCTAAATAAGGAATCCTACAGCTATAATGATTCCTTATTTAATGCATTGTATATATTATGTAGAAATACTATTAGCATGAAGGGTAATATGCAAACTATGAACATATTTGGTAATATAGTTTCCTATATGGTATAGGAACAAAAATTTCCCTATTTAAAGTTCAATCCCTTATAGGGTTATTCCTAACAATCACCCATTGGACCAGGCTAGGTCCAACCCAGCCTATTAAGAGAGAGCCCGTCAATTTTCATACCGCGGCAAGTCAGATTGCCCTTAATGGGCTGGATTTAGCTAAGCTTTAAGAGCAACGTGTTGCAGAGATTTTTACATGCCTAATCCTTTATTTAATATTATTTTCATTAATAATATTATTCTTCATTTATTCCATAAATGGCAATTTCTTTTACAATTCTAGCACATTTTAAAAATAAGCTGACCCTTAGATTAAGGAGTTAGTTTTATTCTAATAATATTGATGTCATTTCTCTCTCATAATTATAGTAAAACTTTCCTTTTTTCACTCTTTTGTAATGGCACTCCCCCATCCCCCCTCTTCCTTTATTGTTGCTACCTTCTATCTCCATTCTTGCATATAAATTCTAAATTTAAATATTTTTACTTATTTTTATACAAGTAATATATATATATATAATAAATTTAAATTGTTCATAATGTATATACGACAAATATACCTTATATATTTTCAACTAAACATGCATACATTTTTTGCTTATATTTTGTATATTAATAATGTGATTAGCTGGAAAAAAAAATTTTGTGGGATGTTCATGGTATGTATAAGATATAAAATATTTTATACTAGAAATATACCATAAATATGAAAATATTCAAGGAAAAAACTATGCATATACCAGTATATTTGTAGAATTTTTATTGTATAAAACTTAATTACTTTAAATATACACTATATATATTTAATATATTTGTAAGATATTTACAATGTCAATTAATATACATTTTATATATCATTAAAATTTAAATATACAAACATGAAAGAATCAAAAATCAAATAATATAAAATTAGTCAAATTATTGTTCAACATTAATTTAGGAAGTTAAGGAGAAGAATCAGAACTGCTTTGGATTTCTTTTTTGGAATTGAATGCTTTAGATTTTTTAAATCGTGATTCTGGGTCCATATTTATAGCTTCATGCTAAAATTATAATTATTTAGGTGCCTTTTTTGTAGAATACCTACTACTGCTAGGTAACTGAAATATTTTCTTAAATATGGCCTACTTATATTTTTTCCTCAAAGTTGTAAGAGGAAGGATTTGCTTTCGACTTAAAGAAAATGAAGGGTACATTTGTAATTTGATTTATATATGCCCTCTATTAACCTATCACCTCATCAAATCCTCAAATGTTATCTTCTGTCTCAATTACACGCTTTAACAATTAAAAAGATTCAAATATGCCCCTCGTACTAACGATGAAAGCCACGTTGGATATTTGAACCTTTGTAATATTATATTTGGACACTTTTAATTGCTTAGGGCATGCTTCAGAGAAAGGCGCGCGTGTTTATGTGTGTATCATGCCCAAGGATTTGGCAGCCCAATAGGAGTAGTTTATTTGTTGTTTTAGCCCAAGTAGTAGTAGTGACTCGTGTTGTTAGAATTAGCTTAGTTGTTTCTGTTATTCAATTAAGTCCAGCTGCTAGATGGTTCTAGAGAAGGGACAGGTGTCAACTGATGAGTAGGTTTGTTAGGGAATTCCAGCTGTCGTCCTTTTAGCTCTATATTAGTCCTTTTTGCATTGTATTCAGAGCCTATCTATGAATGAAAATCTGTTCTGTTTATTTTTTATTTTATTCTCCTTTCCTAAATTACCTCAGTAGCAGCAGAACTGCTACAATTTTGGTATCAGAGTATCGGTCACTGGCAACGGACTGATGGTAGATAAACAACCGAATCTCACCGGAGACGATGGGCTTCGGAAGGTTGAAGCTCAGCTTCAACATTTCATAGAAGAATCAGGTAAACAGATGGATAAATTCGAAAAGAAACAAGTTGGTTTCGAGTCAAAAATGGTAGAGATGACTGATACGACGAGGAGAATCGAGGATACATTGATCAAAATAAGTAATCAAACCTTGGAACCATCATCATCAGTAAGGTCCCATGTTGGTGGTGTTCATGGAGGAACGATGGTGGAGGGAGCTCAGTCGTTAATGGGAGGTAATCTACGTAATACCCACCTTTCTCTTTCACCCCAAGTCTCTTTGAGTCATCGAGGGACCAACGTGATAACACCGCTCCATTATGAGCAATTACCAGCTCGTTCGACGCCATTGCCGGAAGCTGGAAGCCAAACTCTTAACCTTGCTGCCACTGTTTTTCGACCCACAAATAGCTCATATTCCATGTCCACTCAACCATTTATTATGTTAACCAGCTCATATCCTACAACCACCCAGCCTTTTCTTTCGATATCCAACAGATATTCTATGTCAATAGAACCCTATTACCACTATGTCTTTTTACTCAAGTTCTTATTCTCGACCACTTATATACCCATTGGCCCTGCTACCAACTTCCCATGTTCCTTTTGGACCATTTCAACCCAATAACAATGCTTGGGCTCCTTCAAACCAAGTTGGCCCAGAGTCAAGTGGGTCGGTGTCTAAGATCCCAAAAACCAAGTTGTCATTCCCTGGTGGGTTAAATACGAGAAGCTGGCTTCGACGTTGTGATAAATTTTTCGATCTTTATCAAGTTACCAATGAAGAAAATATGACATATGTGGCCATTCATTTACATTATTATGTAGATAACTGGTTTGAAAGTTATGTGATGGGCTGTGGTGGCAAGGTAACATGGGCCGAGTTTTGTTTAGATATATGTCAAAGATTTGGTAATAATATGCGTGTGGATATTATTATTGAGTTTATTCGATTGGATCTAACTTCAGATGTTGAAACTTATAAAATACGTTTTGAAGAGCTAAGGTGTTTGTTGGGTTTAATAAACCACTGCGTCCATGAAGCATATTATGTGATATGTTTTATCAGCGGATTGTGATGCGATATTCAACCCCTAGTCCAAGATGCTCAACCAAGAACATTGATGGACGCCTATAGGAAGTCCAAGTTACTTGAAAAATCCTTCAATGCTCTTTACAAGCAATTAGGCACCACCACCAAATCCTTTCAAAAACTAGCCTAATATCCAACTAAAACAGCCCCTTATTACATACCCTCAAAATGCTCCAAACGTTGTGAACACAAGAAACCTTAACCCCAAGAATACGACTCTAGGACAGTTGAGGGAGAGGAATTTGTGTTATAAATATTATGACAAATATCATCCTAGACATCAATGCAAGAATAAGGCCCTTAATGCTATTGAACCTGAAGAATTTGTTGATGTTGTTGAAAAAAATAAGGAGCAGCCTGAAGTAGTAAAAGTTGAGGTCCAAGCCCAAGATCAAGGCGAAGTGAGTCTTGCAGCTATGTTGGGCCATGGTAAAGCCCCAAAAACACTCAGAATTGTTGGGTGGGTCAAAGGCGTAAAGGTAATCGTACTGATTAATTGTGGATCCACCCGCAGTTTTATGGACCCACAAATAGCCAAAGCCTCCTCTACAAAGATAGAAAAACTAATCCAACCCATGAAAATTCGAGTAGCGAATTGTCAATATGGAAGAGCTACACAAATTTGCAAGATATTCAATTGGCAAATGCACGAGTTGGAGTTCAATTTTGAATTGAGGCTATTTAAAGTGGGATATTTTGATATCGTACTAGGAATGGGTTAGATTGACTAGGTAACACCAATTGTCATTCATACCAGGCCTCCTAGTATATCCTTCAGTTATGGTCCTGAGGTAGTGACTTTGTTTGGAGTGATAGATGGAGAATATGCCAAGTTAATCTCCAAGTTGTTAGGCAAAGGTCAATGCAATTTCATGGCTCAGTTGTCCTTAATTGGGCCAACCGAAGAGACTGAGGAAATTCCAAGAGAGATCTTAAAGCTATTGGGCTAGTTTGAATACGTGTTTCAAGAGCCCAAATGGCTGCCTCCGGTCATGGAATGTGACCAAGCTATTGAACTGTTACCAAGACCAAAGCCCATCAACTTAAGACTCTATCGTTATTCTTTTGAACAAAAGAATGCCATAGAAGAGATGATTGCAGAGATGCGAAAGGAGCAAAGTGTCACTAAGACTCTCTCCCCTTTTGACTAACTTGAAGAATGTGTGTGGATTATCGAAAGCTAAATGATATTACGATGAAAAATAAGTACCCAATTACATTAATGGAAGATTTATTAGATGAAGTCCATGGGGTAAAATTTTATTCTAAACTTAATTTACGGTCGGGATACCATCAAATTCGCATGAGGAAGGGAGAAAAGTTTAAAATTGCGTTTAGAACACACCACGGCCTTTGGGAGTTCAAGGTCATGCCTTTTGGTCTAACCAATGCGTAGCTACATTTCATACCTTGATGCACCAATTTGGATCATTCCTACGTCAGTTTATTCTAGTCTTCTTCGACGATATACTAATTTATAGCACTTTTTTGGGTGATCATATGAGTAATTTGCAGTTGGTATTTGACCTGTTGAGGGATAATCAATTGTTTGTTAAATAATCCAAATGTAGTTTTGGGTAGAACACAATAGAATATTTAGGTCATATCATTTCATATGAAGGAGTAAGCACTAATGGGGCTAAAATTGAAGCCATAGTGAATTGGGCTTAGCCTAAATTAGTGAAAGAGCTGAGAGGATTTCTTGGCCTTACCTGTTACTATAGGTGGTTCATCAAACAATTTGTTGTCAT